TGCTTCAGGTACGGCAGTCGCGCTAGCTCAGATTTCGTGCTAATTACAAATAGCAGAAGCGGGTCGTAGCAGGAAATATGCTCTTGGTCTTCAGGCTCAACACGGAAGTAGGCTGTATCCTTCAGATGGCTGAACCTTTTTTGAATTGGCAAAAATGACAAGTCTCCGAGGTCAACAAAACAAACTGAAGACAAACTATAACAAAGCGGAAGTTCAGGCCAATTTCTTTTCTCATTGGGTGATTGAAGACTGGAACAAGCTACCTTCTTCTGTTGTTCTGCCTGAAAGCGTTGAAACATTGAAGAGAAGACTTGATGAGACTTTGGTCGGATGATTCCCAAGTTTAGCATGTGCTCATATTCATTCTTCGTGATCCGAAGCTTCTCAAGGTGAACTCGGGGCGGGTAAGCAGGCACGGGTCGGTCAGTCGTGACAATATGATGTCGTACCGCCTGCGCAACCTGTTCAGCGAACTGGCATGGCTATGTGATAAAGAGATAGTCCTTAAAAATATACGAAAATTACGAACTTTAATTAGCCAAGTGCATGCCGATTGAAAATTTGAGAGACGCAATACCAACGGTGAAAAGTGTTTTTTATGGAGTCAATAAGTTTACGATGCTTGAGATCATCAGCGAGGCTAAACTGCGACAGGAAGTCGGCTCCAATGATAGTTTACTGAAGGCCAGTCTGAATTCAGGCCTTTATCTCACTTAAGATTTTAAAATAAAATTCAGCTTCTTCTACTGTTCCAAACTTTCTCCAAAATAGACTTAAAAATTGTGAAAGCAACTTAAGGATCCGTCTAATAGCTCTTCGTCAGTTCACTTAAAGATCCCTAAATATTTTAATCAGCGCTTAAAAATAGGCTTGCACGAGAGAGGCGTAGGGAGTCCGTAACATTAAGTGATGCTAACCCTTTCAGATCTGTTGCTCAAGTACTCCGTCTTCCGTCGTCGGCTAAGCTTCAGAAAGTAATTCCGCCCTAACTTGATAGTAACAAGCATTTTGTTACAAAGGATTCGGACAAAGCGGAATTGTTAAATTCATTTTTCTCCGAGTTCTTTACCATTGAAACTAGCCCTGCAATCCCTTCCGCGTGAGATTCAAATCTCAATATTATTGATTTCTCACCCACTAGTATTCAAAAAGAAATAAGTCGTCTTTAAAATTCACATTCGGTTGAAACTGATAGTATTCCCAAATCACTTATTAAACAATTAAGAGATTTTCCACCCTCAATGAGTAAATTATTTTCAGTATTTCTCGAGAATGGCTATTTTACCTGATTACTGGAAAACTTTTTTTTAAAATTCCAGTTTTTAAATCAGGTTCCTGAGCTGTAGTCGTCACTATTACTGGCTGGCGTGGTCATTTAACGAATATTGCGGTGACTGGTAGTTTCACGGCGGAATGCACTTGCGTGCCTTAAGGCCATAGGTGTGATGATACCGGAAGATTTTTTGTGACGAACGATCGAGTGACCGAAAACGGGGGCATCTATTAAGTTGCTTTCGGCTAGCCTGAAGACTATTGATCACGGAGTGCATACTGCCAACTTGGGAGCACAACAAACGAACGGTGTCCTTGAGAAAATGTAAGTTGTTATGACGTGATCCCTATAGTCTTCGTGCGAGAGCTGAGGGTTGGACTGACCAGTGCGATGTACGACAGCGAGCTGAAGATGCTGAATGTCAAGCCTCCCTCCCGGATTTAAGGTTAAAATCGGAGTCGGGACCTGGCACGATATTGGATCTCCCGTAAGAAACCGTGGCCTTTTGAATGAATGGAACGGAACTACCGCTAAGGTGGCATTCCATGAGCGGCCAGTTTATCTAACGATGTGCTAGCATCCACCATGGCCAAATTTGCTGCATGTGGACCGGAAGCTTATCCAGCCATATTTCACGGAAAATCGCGTCATCCATCTGACAACCAGTCGGCAAAGAGCGCATAGGTCACAAAAGCGTCTGGTCGCCCAGCTAAACCGAAGTGAAAAGCTCGTAAAGCATACGGTTGGCCAATTTGGTTGTACGATTTGGCTGTACCGCATCCTTCAGTTTCGCACAAAACTTCTAGGCTGGTATAGGGTCGAGGAGGTCCGCGATCGTGACTGCCACGTCAAATGGTAGCGGTTGTACCACGTACTAATACTTAGTAGGCTCGCCAGTTATACGATATGTCGAAAAGACGGCCTCTATCTACGTGAACCACACGCGGAGGTGCAAAGCGAGGGAGCTTGATGTAGATCGTATTGATGTCGGGAGATCCTGTATTATTGTCCGGGGGACCGTCTGCATCGTCCAGTGTTAAAAACAAATGTACGTATGCGGATGTAAAAGAGTGGTCACCAGATTTGTAGTCATAACTACGGTTAAAGTCTAAAAATCGAACAATATTTGCAAAAGCAACTTAACGCAAAACTAAGAAAGTAGTAACTAAACGACTATAGGCTACGGCGATAAACAAAATGACTAAAAGGTTGGAAAAAAGGACAGGGAGGACAAGAATGATAGAGACTCACGGAAGTTCAATGACTTTGTCCGGCAGTAGTCGTAGATAGACTTGAAGAAAAGTTTTTCGTTTATATGCTTGATTGGTAAATTAAGAGGTCCAGCATCTCGGCGATTGAGGAACAGATTTGTCAAAAAGAAGAACCGAAATAGATTGCCGAGTTCCGCGCCGTTAGTGAGCACAACCACATTTAGGACAAGCATTCAGAAAGTCACTCTTAGCCGACACCGAAATTGATATGGAGGTATTTATTAGTTGATTTAAAAGACACACAAATTCGGAGATGATATTTACATGCCTAAAACGAAGATGTACAAGGACCTACATTCTGAATGGTCGAGAATATGCGAGGCCAAGGTAACTGAATAGAAGAAGTTAAGACGTCCTCTGGGACCAGGAGTGTATTTGTCCGACGTTTCGAACTCTCCCGCGAGCTCATCGTCAAGGAATGAAAAAAACATACAGTTCACAGTGTAATTAAGTCGGTTCTGCCGGGATTGACCTCTGCCCTTGACCTCTCCATTTGTACACGCGCAACCGTTTTCTTTTCTATACAAAGCATGTCGCTGCTAAATTAAAACGCTGTTCCCTATCGTGTGTTCTCCGGATCTGCTCTGGGCACTTAAACTTTCGGCCTGGAGGAATTTCTAATTGACACTTTAAGAAATACGCAAAACAATATACAGGCTGTTGAGACTCGAATTGAGCGGGCCGTTTGGCAACGTTGCCAAACGTCCCCGCTCAATTCGAATTTTACCCTTCCAGCGTACGTGTCTCTCTCGCGGTTGATAGAGCAGATGTTGCGTTCGGTTGCTCTTTTGGTTGTCTGTTGTTCGGTGTTTGTGAGTGGATACTATGTGACAGTTGATGCTAATGGAGAAGAGTGCTATTTCGATAGACTTAAAGCTGGCGCAAAGTTTGTTCTGCACTTCGAAGTATCGGAAGGTGGATTTTATGACATTGATGTCAAGGTTGATTTTTTCTTGTATTTTTATGTCTGTTATAGATTTCTGGTCCGGATAACAACGTTTTATATTCGGTAACTAAAGAATCAAGTGGTCGCTATGCCATGACCGCGTCAAAGGACGGAATTTATACTTACTGTTTCAGTAATAAAATGAGCACGATGACTCCAAAAGTCGTGTTATTTGCTCTCGAAGTTGAAGACAAACAGCTCGAAAAAGAGGCTGGAGCATCAGGTACTACAGTTTTTGTGATTTTAATAAGTAGAGGAACAAAACAAGCTCGTTGACATGGTAAATGAGCTCGCCAGTTCTGTAATGTCAGCGAAACACGAAATGGAGTATCTTGAAGTGCGCGAAACCCTCCACAGAGCAAGTATGTTTGTACTTTCGGTCTATTCAGTCATTTAGTTAACGAAAATACCAACTCACGCGTCGTTCTTTGGGCTGCTTTCGAGGCTCTCATCATAGTCGGAATGAGTCTAGGTCAAGTGTACTACTTGAAGCGCTTCTTCGAGGTTAGAAGGATGGTTTGAAGCACAAACTATTGTAAGCAAGATGGTTCTGTCTTTCCTACTCTCCGCCTCCCGCACCCACTTTGGAACAAATCAAGTCCTTTTGCGTCGCCCTGTCTCGGACTAGTAAATCACCTGTGTCCATATTCCATTATTCATGTGGTTTACCGCCCTCGTTCAATCTTTGTTTTTGTTATGTTTTATGCGGTAAACAGTATCTTCATTCTTCCCTGAAAGCCTGTGTCTGATTTCGCGTCAACATTTTTTTGACCCATATTTTGATTCAGGACTGTTCCGGTTGTCTTCTCTTGTACGTTGAATGAGAATATGCTTTATTAGACAGTACAAATGACTGCTATACACATGTAAAGCACGTTATTTTGAGGTTAGCAGGACCGAGCTTCGGTGTATTTGGTAGATCGTAGCATAGGCAACTGAAACAGGACGAGTTTTCAGCCACCTGATCGTCTTCCCGGGTGTCTATGGACAACCCTGTTAACGAGTTGTAAACTAAACATTTTCGCTGCTTTGTTGCCTTTTAGATGTTTCATGCTACAGTACTGTGGCCGGGCCTATAACTATTCTGCTCAGTTATTTGTACCGGTCTTTGTCATTGCCAGGTGTCCATTATTTCCGTATTGTGAGCTTGCATAAACAAATAAGATTCCAGGGTAGTCCAGTTCGTACTGCAATTTCTCCGTCTTATCGACAATACATGCGTTATTTTAAGTTTATAGGTTTGTTTGGTTACTTAGCCAATAGACTCGATTCATCCGGACACGGCAGGCGTTTATCATCGCCATCTGTCACGTCAAAGACAGTAAGAAAGAAAAGACTTGGTCTTCAATAACTGGTACCATATATTTATACTGTCCTACCGGGTAAATATTTTGTCTAACATATCCATCATCCAGGTCATTGACGATTTTCTCATGACTTATGCCTTGGTAATAGTCGCAGTGCGTTCTATACGCTCCCAAGAAGGTAGATACCAATATGGTCTATCTCAGCTGCCCACGATTGTTCTTGCATTCACGGGACCAACGTTGATACAAGACACAATTTAACGAGTAAGGTTTTATATGAGCGCCTTTTCATGTGACTTTGGTGTCGCTTCGGTGATTTGTCCGCCTTAGGAAGGGCCATCCAAGGGGCATGAGTTGAGGAAGAACTTGTACTCTCTTTAAAAATAATGGTGATTAGTTTTCAAAGTGACAGCGATGGTCAACTTTGGCCGAGTTGTCTGTAATAGAATGGCTGCTCTCATCACTAAGTCAGTCCTAGGGACCTGCGACTGGTCTGAAAATGATTTGGTGGTGTTCTAGATTCCCAAACTTTTCAGCTCCTAAAAGCACTATCCTGTAATCCTTTGACTCTGAACGCCCTCATTCCTCTCACCTTACGTACTGTTCATTGGCTGTTTAACATTTTGCTGCTATATCCTCAATTGCAGCAAAAAGCTTTCTGAAATTTAAATCCATTTAATAAAACGAAATACAAGAAAAACAATAACCTACTCGCTCAAATATCGATCATGATGTTTTAGCGAGTTATGTCGTCTACTCTACAAGCCTGAGGCTGAAAAGTTGCAATCGTACGCTTGCTGAAGTTGATATTTTACATGTT